AAAAGGGGCGAGTCCCCAAATGGAGGGGATCCCCAAAAGTCGGGGGCACCCCGAATTTGGGTGGGGGTCCCTAACCAAGTCCCCCCCCCCTTTATAGGGCACTGGAGGAGGACGCCCACCTGGAGAGGGGCCTCAAACGGCAGCGGCGGAAATCGGGACGCAGGGAGATGTGCGGAATCGCCTGAGGGGGGGACCCCAAAAATGAGGACCCCCCCCAATAAAAGACAATGGGAGTTCAGACCTGAAAATCTCGGCTTCAGACCCCAAAACGCGGCATTCTGAGCCCAAATCCCACCTCTGGACCCTGAAATCCCATTTTCTGACCCCAAATCCCACATCTGGAGCCCCAAAATCGCTCATTCTGACCCCAAAATCCCTGAGGTGGCGGACGGTGCTTTATTGGAGGGGGGCACGAGTGTGAGTGTGCAACGGAGTGAGTGTGCAAAGGGGGTGCGAGTGCACCAGGAGGGGGCATGTGCAAGGAGGGAGTGTACAAGAAGGGGGGATGTGAGGTGCGAGTGTGCGAGAGCACGTTAGATGTAAGTGTGCAAGAGCAGTGTGTGAGTGCATGAGGAGTGGGTGTGCAAGGGGGTGTGCAGTGTGGGGGTGAGTGTGCAAAGGGAGTTGGGCATGAGAATGCAAGGGTGAGCGTGCGTGGGGTGTGGGCAGGGGGTGCGCACACGAGTGTGCAAGGATGAGCATAGAAGGGGGTGAGTGCACAAGACGTGTGGGAAGCGTGCGAGGATGAAAGCATAAGTGTGTAGGAGTGTGCAAGGGCAGCTGCACACAGTGTGAGTGTGCATAAGACCACAAACGAGTGAGGAGCGTGGGTGTGCACGGCTGCACTGCACCCAGGCTGTAAGCGTGCAAGGGGAGGCGTGCATGGATGTGCACAAGAGCTGAACTGGTAGGTGGCACGAACGTGTGCCCACGTGTGCAAAACGTGTAGGATGTATGCGTGTGTGCACGGCAGTATGAGCGTGCAAGGGGGGTGGTGAGCACGAGCGGGCACAAGCGTGCACAAGTGTGAACGCACGAGTGTGCAAAGAGTGCACGATGGGGGCGAGCACGTCGGCGTGGATGAGTGCAAAGGGGGGGCAGCACACGAGGCACCGTTGCCTCGTGCCCCGTAACGGTGCGAGGCCCGGTGCACGAGCGCTTGCACGCGGGCGTGTAAGGGCTCCCGTTAAGGCGGGGGGGTGCCCGGGGGCGTG